AGAACAGTCGCGGCTGCGCAACGCCACCAGCACCAGCAGCTCCCGCACCACCAGCAGCTCCAGCACCTCCAGCTGCTCCAGAACCTCCAGCTCCAGCTCCTCGAGCGCCAGCACCACCAGTACCAGCGTTACCAGCAGCTCCAGAACCCCAAGCGCCAGAACCTCCAGTACCAGCGTCACTAGCAGCCCCAGAACCTCCAGCGCCAGCACCTCCAGTACCAGCGTCACCAGCAGCTCCAGAACCTCCAGCGCCAGCACCTCCCGTACCAGCGTCACTAGTAGCAACACCCCCAGAACCGGCACCTCCAGCCCCAGGGTCTCCAGCCTCAGCGTCTCCAGCAGCGGCACCCCCAGACTCAGTACCGCCAGCCCCAGCATCTCCAGTACCTCCAGTACGAGCACCTCCGGAACCAGCGACTCCACCACCTCCTGTAGACAAAGTACCAGCACCACTCCCAGCTGCAGAGCCCCGAGCTCCAGCCGCACGACCCTGACGGCCAGCGTACCACTCGTGCAGCTGCTGAGGGGAGAGAGGCGCTCGCGGACGAAGGCGGCCTCTCCAAGGAGACCTCGCACCAGCAGTCTCACTACCCTCAGGCGCCGCACCCCCAGACTGAGCACCCCCCGACTCCTCACGCTCAGGCGCAGCACCTCCAGACGCAGCACCCCCAGGCGTAGTACCTCCAGCCTCCTCACGCTCAGGCTCGGCACCTCCAGGCTCCTCACGCTCAGGCTCAGCACCCCCAAGCTCCGTACCCCCAGGCTCAGCACCCCCAGAGACAGCACCCCGATCAGGACCACCCCCAACAGGACTTGAGTCACCAGTGACCTCAACAGGCGCAGGCACGGGAGGGTCTACTTGAGAGACACCTGAAGGAGCAGGACCTGGCGTAGGGAGGGGGTCTACCTGGGGAGGACCCGGAGCGAGAAAGAGCAGCGGGGGGAGGCGAGGGGCAGTGCGGTAAGGAAAGAGACGGTAAAAGGGAACTGACTCGTCAAAGGTGACGTCCTGAGACGGAAAGACACGGCGCGAGGCGGGGTCGTAAAACTGCCAGCCAGGCGCGTCAGGGACAAAGCCAAGGAAGACGCAGGGAATGGCGCGAGGGGAGAGCTTGTCCGCAGTGGTATCGCGGACAAAGGCACGAGCACCCCGGACTCGGAAACGCGACGCATCGCCAACCTCCCCCGTCCAGCACAGTGTGGGCGAAGTCTTCGGCACGGAGTCACGGGGCCAGAGGTTGAGCTGATGCGCAGCGTACCGGACCGCAAACGGCCACAGAAAATGGGGGGCAGCCGTATGGATCATGGAGGTACGAGCGACCTCCATGACTAAGCCAATGCGGCGCTCAGCAACCCCATTCTGCTGTGGAGAGGCCGGAAGCGTGAACGTCTGGCGGATGCCGTGCTCCTCACAGTAGGCTCGCAAGAAGTCGGAGGAGAACTCACCACCTCTGTCAGAGTGCAGACGCAGGACAGGAAAGTCCGACTGGAACCGCTCGCGGAGCTGGAGACGAACAACTTGGATCCAGGGGATCAAAACATCAGGGACCTCCCCCTTGCGCTGCAAGGGGAAGACCGTGGTGTAGTCGTCGACTACCAGCAGGAAGTACCGCTCGTGGCCCTGTCCACGGACGCAGGCTGGGCCCCACACGTCCAGGTGGAGAGTCTGCAGTGGAGCCTCTGTGGGAGGGAATGAGGAGGAGTGAGGAGCGGCGCGCTGCCGCCCCTCGACGCAAGGAATGCCGGGCGGCGCAGGCGAGGGAGGGAGGGAGGGCAGAGACCTAGGAAGACCAGAGACCAGGCGGCGAGAGTGCATGCCACGAAGGCGAGGCAGGGAGGGGTGACCAAGGCGGTGGTGCCACAAGAGAGTCTGGTGCGACAGGCTGCGACACTCACACTGGGTAGCTACCTGAGCGGACGCGTACAGCTGAGGAGACAAAGGGGTGGAGCGCGACGCAGTGGTGAGGGTGTACAGACTGGACCCAGGCGCACGTGTGAACGTGGCCAGGTGGCGGCCGGTCCGGGAGCACGTGCAGATCGCCACACGCTGTCCTCCAGGAGTGAAGGTGTCAACCTAATGATCCTGAAGGACGGCGTTGCTCACCAGGTTCGTAGATAACGAGGGGAGGTGGAGACCAGACAGCTCACCAGACGGGACCGCCGGACACGGAAGCACAGTGGTAGACTGTGCAAGCACTGGGCCCCCAGAGGGGTCAGCCAGTGAGACAGGGACAGGTGCAGGGAGGGGAGTGACTGTGGTGCTGTCGCGAAAGAAACAGCGGGAAGCACCTGAGTCAAGTGTAAAGGTGTGCAAGGCCTGTGCGGACGCAGTACCAGGGAGAGCAGACTCACGAGCACCTAGAGATGCAGGCGCTATACCTGGGGCTATACTGGGGTCAGGCGGCACACACAAGTAGCAGTCACCCTCAGCACTAACAGTCAATGCATACATGGCAGCAAGCATAGCATCATAGTCAAGATCAAAGATAGGTACATCACGCCTAAGCAGGTCTGCCCAGTTGGGGAACTCAGTAGCATCAGGAAACTTGATGCGCCAGGCGTCGCTAAGCCGAGCGAAGCAGCGATACTCAGTGTGAAAGCCGGTGCACTAGCGACCAGCGCGGGGACTTGCGCGAATGGTATAGGGGCAGCGACCAGGACCCCCAGACGCCCCACGCCCGGCATACCAGGCAAGAAGCTGCTGGGAAGTGGGGGTCTAGCGCTGACGCTGCTGCGGATGCTGCTGCTGCTGCTGCTGCCCCTGGCCACCACTGGTCTCACCCAAGCCCCCACCACCGTTGCCACCACCACTTCTTCCTCCGCCACCACCGCCGCCGCCACCGCCACTGCTCCCGGCACCACCACCGCCCCCACCACCACCTCCACCCCCACGACCACCCCCACCACCTCCACCTCCCCCGCCGCCTCCACCACAGCCCCCTCCACCGCCACGTCCGCCACCCCTGCCACCCCTGCCTCCCCTGGAGCCGCTGCGCTTCCCACTAGGAGCGGAAGCAGCTGCGACCTTCTCAGCACCAAGGAGGTCGACAGCAGCAGCTGCGGAGGCGTAGGAGGGGGTAAGAGGGGAGGGGGAGCACCCCTCAAAGAGGGGAGTGCGAGGAGTACCACAAGCAACACCTACAGCGAGGATGTTCTTCTCTGCTGCTAGGAGGTGCTTCTCGAAGTCGGCGATAGTGAGAGTGGTAGGGTCTAGGGCTAGGAAGTGGTCCCTGACGGAGCTAAGAGTGTCAGGGAGGCAGGTGACGAGGAAATAGAGAGTGAAGTACATCGTGGGGGGGGGGGGGGGGGGGGGGTTCGTTCTCGGCGCAGAACTTGGCTGGAAGGGCGGCACGAAAGCGAGTGTCACTAGCGCGAAGGTGAGAAATGAGGTCCTCAGCAGAAGTAAACGAGGACAGGTCTGGGAACAGGTAGGGTAGCATGAGCCGACCTAGGGCTGCAGTGGCCGGGGAGGAGTAGCACGCAACTACAGCGTCATACAGTGCCTTAGCAGTTTTGTGCTGGCTGTAATGCGCGCGCTCAGTGATCGGCAGATGATTTCAAATAGCTAGGCGTGCAGCAGCATCGCGAGTCTGCCACTGTGAGCGTTCGAGAGCGGTAGCATCGTCAGCAGGAGCAACGGCAGTGTTAGACGCGTAATCGAACAGTGAAACGCCGTCTTTGGCATCAGTCAGAAGAAACAGTTGGAGATCGTCTAGCCACGTGGTAAACTCTATCGGGCGACCGTCAGGCTCAAACGCGAGAACATTAAGTGTCGTCATAATCGCAGTGCAGGCAAAGGCAGTAGGCAAAGGCAGTAGGCAGCAAGCAGCAGGCAAAGGGCGCGAGCAGCAAGGGCAGAGGAAGGGCAGTACGAGGGCTGCTCGGGCAGTACGAGGGCTACTAAGGCAGCACGAGGGCTACTAAGGTAGCACGAGGGCTGTTAGGGCAGTGGGAGGGCTGTTAAGGCAGCACGAGGGCTGTTAAGGCAGTGGGAGGGCAGTACGAGTGGGAGGGCAGTGCGCGGGGCTGACGAGGCAGCGAGCGGGCTGTGCGGGCGTCGCACGGGGCTGACGAGGCAGCGGGCTGGCTGCGCGCTCGCGGGTCAGTACAGGCAGTGCGAGGGCTGAGAGGCAGCGCGCGGGGCGGTAGAAGGCAGCGCGAGGGCTGCGGAGCGGCGCGCGGGGCAGGAGAAGGCAGCGCGAGGGCTGCGGGGCGGCGCGCGGGCCTGACAAGGCAGCTAGCGAGCTACGCGCGGGGCTGACGAGGCAGCAGGCGGGCTGCTAGCGGGCTGCACGAGGGCCAGCAGAGGCAAGCGCGAGGGCTGCGCGACTCAGGGCAATGTAGGCAAGGGGCGGGGTAACGCGGTAACCGGCGGAAAACGGTTGGTGGGCCCTGAAAAACAGTCCTAAAACGGTCCTGAGGACCTATTTTGCTCTTAATACCATGTCGAGAGTAAGGGAAGGAAAAGGTGGTTGCACTATCGAGAAAGTTGGGTACAAGTAACAAAACCTATACCCTACATTAGCTACCCCACTAAAGCCTACATTTTGTTGTGGCATAGGCATATAGTTTGACAGGTAAGATTTTCAAGAGACTCATCAGTATTGCAAAATAACACTACCATAAAATATTTGATCTAAAACCTGGCACTAAGCGGGACTGAATTTCGGGCAAGGCGCACTGACCTATTCATATGCCCTAACCCTAAGTAGTGCGGTAGAGGCCCTTATGAATGAAAACAGCCCACCATCAGCAACTACGAGATCACGCGAGGATCTTGCGGTGCCTTGCATACCAAACAAGGGCAACAAAGAGCAAAGTGGGCACCAATGTTCCGAGCACAACCACCTGCACAGAACAACTCCAATGGCAATGACGTACTTGCGAACGGAACTTGAGGATACACAGAACCCTAAATGAAAAGGTTGCAATGCAGAACATAAACAGTCGGTCCCTACAGAAAGAAAAGGACAGCAGATGCATGAAGGATTGAGACGGAC